TTAACTTGAATCTGGAATAGAGTCCTGCATCAGGTCAGGTACCCATGGATCAGGTCCAGGTGGGAACGTGAACTACTTTACATTTTGCAGATTGGGTGTGGGTCTGAAAAATAAAATTTCACATTAGACTCAGGTCGGGTAAGCCTCACCGCCAGCGGCTGACAGATGTAAAAAATCCTACACTTTACCAGAAGAAGCAGCGCAAGTGAGATCAAACAGAGAAAGCAGAATGGCCGTGAAGGAGATCAAACAAAAGATAGAGCAGGGTGTGCCACCCTGCTCTATCTTTTGTCTGATCTCCTTCGCAGCCATTGTGAACATTAACATTCTGCTTTTTCTGGTAAAACGTGGTTTTCTTTTCCAAGTCTGGCAGCAGCTGCCCCACACATGCCCAGAAAAGGCAGCGTGTTAGTTTGATCTGACTTGCCCAACATCTGTATAGATCAGGTGCTTCAGCGGGGCTTTTTTGGTGCTTTTATCAAATAGCTGACTGAATCAGCTATTACATAAAGGTGCCAAAAAGCCCTACTGAAACTCCCAATCTATACAGACGCTGTGGAGGCGGGTTGAACTAACACAATGCTGCTTCCAGGAAAGCGCAGAGTTATTTTTTGTTTTACGTCTGTCAGCAGTGCAGATCAGGTTGCAGCTTTGCCTGAAGTGGGTCAGGTCAGTCCATGGGTAAGAAGACTTGCTAATAAGGGCTGCAGGTTCAGGTCTGGTTGTATAAAATTGAGTGCGGGTCAGAAGTGGGCCTTTAAACTCAGACCCACACAGTTCTCTGATCTGGAGAGGACAGAAGTTCAATAAACTGATTTACCTAAATTAGTTGTGTCTGATACTGCATCCATCCAGGTTTATCTTAAACTGGTTTTGGCCATTTTGAAAGCAGTTTATGTGCACTGAACTTCTGTTGTATTACCGATTTGAACCAGTTTCCGATCCGATGTACTGATTTATGTGTAATTTTGGTCCCTAGGCTTAGTGTCAAAAGGACAGTGAAAGCCCATCAATCAAATCACCAAGGTTTGGGGCGGGGGGTTTTCAAAGCCTGCATATGATTTTAACAACCTAGTAAGGAATACATTTCAGCTCCTCTTTGCTGTTGGGCATTGAGGGAAGTGGCAGGTAATAACAGGGTCAGATATACACTGGTTTGGTGCGCAGGATGTTATTAAGGAGGGGCTTGCTTTCTGACATACAAGTAGCTTGCTAGGATTGTTATGGATTTTTAAATGTTGGATTTAATATCATTGCAAACACTGAGTTGGAGGAGGGCAGGTGTGGTGCTGTGCCACCTCATGTAGTTTGGGAAGCGCCTGGAGAATCTTCAGCACTAACTGTAATCTTATTAGAGTGCATTTTTCCAACGTATTTGGCTGCAAGCTCCAGAAGGCTGCTAACAGGTGAAACCACCAAGATGAGGAATCCCAGCGAATCCTTCAAGGAATTGATTTCTGAGTAGACAACACTTGTGACACTCTCTCAATTCCCAGAACCAATGATTCTGCATAACAGTAATGTGATAAATGCAAGCTCCAAGTGTTTACAAGCTAACAATTAGGCCTCATAAGCACCAAATACCATTTTAATTCTGTGCATTGAACCTTAGCTAAATAAATTTCCAGCTGGGAATTGATGGCAACAGCTTCCTTTGCCGGCCTAATAATTGTCACTGTAATTGTAAATGCCGAGTCTTTGCAGTTGGTGTGAATGGGAGGCAGCAGCTGCATTAGCAGGTGATGAATTCATTGCTCAGAGTGGCTGCTGTGTACATTCCTATGCTTCAGTGTTTCTTTAATTCGGGTGCTTCTGGAGCTTTTGGAGAACACAGAAGTCTTAGGCTGGGATGCAAACGGGGCCACCTCTAAATCCTTAGACTGTGGAAACAGGCCTATGCAGCTTAGCTGTGAAATGAGTTGACTAGGGGAGATTTATCTTACTACAAATACCAGGACGCACCTGCAGCTACATGAAAGCCAGTCACCTGGCCTTCGTCTCCAAGCCAGGGATCTGTCAGAGAAATGCCTTTGTGAAGGCTGGAAGCAGAGGTGAAGGGAGATGAAACATTCCTGTCAATCACTTTGCCTTGTTAAAGCCTATTATCCATTCAGAAATGCAGAGGCCTTAAAGTCAGAGGGGCCCAGGGGGTTGGGGGTGTATAATAAACAGCATCATGTATGTGCCGTACCTTCTAATCCAAGCCAAAAGGGCAAAAATGCTCCCATCATATACAAAATATGCAGTGAGCAAGGAGGAAAAGAAATGCATGCCGTGAGGGGAGCACGCAGCACGCGAAGGAGAATTTCAGCACCCACTCCCGTGGGTCACGAGCCTCCCTCCCTGCATCATCATCCAGCACGAAAGGGCTTCTTTTTGGGACATGAATTTTGTTACACTTCATCCGCTGCTAATTAAAAATCATAATCAAAATGTTAATGGTGCAGTTATGCTACCTTCTCACATCCCCTCCCCTGTAGGATGTGACCTTTTAGCAGCTGTGACTAGGTGAGATATCACCTCTGGAGTAAAGTGCTTAGGAGTGCCCTACCTGCCTCACTTTCTAATGCAGATGGGATAGAAGAGAAACAGGCTTGTTGCATGCATAAAAAGGCAGATGTTTTGAGCTACCCGCAGTCCCAAATTCCACTCCTTGCTCGTAGGTAGAATTCAGCCACGTTGCTGCCCAGTCTTGTTAAACTCTGCATGTGACATATTATGCAAATTGTGTTTATTTTCTTTCTTTGATTTAAATAATAAAAAGCTCTAGGCACCCCGTTCCACCCATATGGTTGCTATATATGCATTATTTGCATAGGCACAGGTTATTTGCATATTTGCAAATCATTCTTCCCCAAGCAGCGGCAGGGCCAGGAGATGAAGCTGCACAGAGCTTGGCAGCTGTTGCCATGTTAGGTGACAGGAGAGGGGATGTGAAGGACTGCTAGCATGCATACGTGGGCAAGTGCCAGGGGGTGTTTGAGGCGTGCCGACGCGGGGAGGTTGGGTAATGTAGGGGGTCGGGTCGGTGCTAGAAGGTGTCTCAGGGCACTGGATAGATGTAGGGGTGCTTGGGTGAGTTGGGAGTTGATAGTAGAGGGACTGACGTGGGGACTTTATGGATGTGTTGGGAAGAAAGCAGGTGTCTGGAAGGATGGTTTGGGGTGCCAGGGGAAGCTGTGCCCTACGAAGTTGGCTGTTTGCTCAGAGGTGATAACTGAGGGACTGAGACCCTTTTTTTGGAGCATGGAAGTAGACATAAATTGTGTATAGTCCTTGTGCTGCCTCCCTGCACAGAGCTGAATGTCATTCACTTCAGATGAATCACAGACTAGTGACTCAGGACTTAAAATGAACCAGGAGTCACTTGTCTATCACACATACACGCACTCTCTCTCTCATTTATCCATGGCCCTGATTCTGATCTCTCTCACGTTACCTTTACACCAGCAGACCTCCTCCAACTTCAGTTGTGTTACACTTGGCTGGGGCCAGCATAAGAAAAGGATCAGGATGTAGCTGAGAAGCATCACATGTTTTTTTTCTGTGCATTTTTTCTTTGCACCATCCTTGCCCTGAGCTTGTTAAGCCTGCCAAGGCTGAGCTGTCAAGTTCAGATACCGACATCCTAACAACTGGGGGGTTGGGATAGGAACCCTCTTCACTCTTTAGGTTACACAAACAGCAATACGGATGTCACTTAGAGAAAGCGTGCGTGCTAATGTGTGTGCTTGGGATAGCATGACCATTGCCATGTCCCTCAGTTGTCATACTCTGGGTCTCTCCTCAGAGGTCCTGCTCGTCAACCTCTTATCATTCTTGGCATTTGCTACATCTTCCTAAAAGCACAGTGCCCAAAACTGAGCACAGGTCCGCAGCTGAGGCCCCAGCATGTGCCTCCAATGTTGTACATTCAGCACTTCCCAGAACAGCATTTGCTCTTGAGCGCCTGGCAGGCAGGACTTGCAATGGCTTGACTTTCACCCGTGGGTAGGTATTGGTAGCAGAGGTAGACAGGATTGCTTTTATACCTGTTTCTCCTTGTCAGCCTACAGGGCCCTGTGACTGGTATCTTGTCAGTCGGCCCACGGGCCCTGGGGAGTTGCACCCCAGTGGCTTCCTACCACGCCTCACTCTGGTTTTCATTTTGGGAAGCTGTCCTTACCCTGAGCTCATTCTCCCTGCTAGAGCCATGCTTTGAACATGTCCAGGGCACTGGGAGCCATTGCTAGGCGGGGAGATGCATGTTCAGCATGAGAGCACCCATGTGAGCGCTGCTCGGGGAAGTTCCAGCCGCAGGGCGTCTGCGTCTCCTTTTTACTGATAAAACAAACCCCTACCTCATTAGGCGGTCAATGGCCTGTGCAGAAAGAGCTGTTCTCAGCCTGCTTCCTCGTGTTCCCATCGCAGCAATCACCCTGGCCAGCACCTCTCACGAGAGACAGTCAAGGAGTGACGAGAGAGAGGCCACGTTCTCACCCGCTCAGATTGGCCCTGCCAGATAAGGACTGGGGCACAGGATGGGGCGATGTTAAGCAAGGGTCCCGGGGCCTTCGTTCCCTGGGACAGTTAGTCCGGCTCCTCTCTCCAACCCTCGCGTTCACTTTTAAAAGAAGGAAGCAAAATAATCCAAGTCCCAGAGTACGAAGAGCCAGGAGCACAACCCAGGGAAAGAGCAGACCCTGGCATTACAAAAGCCCTTCTGTTCAGCTGAGACAGACTCATTTAAGCCAATCTGAAGGCAGAACAGGGAATGTACCATAAATCAGGAGCAGGGTACATATATATTAATATATAGGCTTGATTACAAGCATTGTGCCAAATCTGCTCCTCTCCACAGGACACAGCTCCCTACTCAGATGGTCCTGAGAAACCCCAGTCAAGGGCATTGCCTGGGTAGGGGCTTGGGAGGTCAGGATGTGGCCTGTTCTTCATAGGGCAGCATGTACGCTCCACTGCTCAGGCCACGCTGTTGATCATGCCGTGTTCCTCCCTTCCAGGTACGACAGCTTTGGGCGCCTCACCAACGTGACGTTCCCTACAGGCCAAGTCAGCAGCTTCCGCAGCGATACCGACAGCTCCGTGCACGTCCAGGTCGAGACATCCAGCAAGGACGATGTGACTATAACAACCAATCTGTCCGCCTCGGGTGCCTTCTACACCCTCCTGCAAGGTGAGCTCCCAAACTGCTCCCCTGGTTGCACGGCACGTGCAGGTTTAAGGACCAGGGAACGGGCCTTGTCTTGACCATTCCTGTGCCAGAAACCCCTTGGTGTCCCAGCGCCTTGTAACTCTCCCCATGCTGATACACACGCACTCATGCCTACTCAGCATGGCAAGCAGCTCACAAGTCCCTCCGGACCTGTTTTCCACTCTCAGTGTAGTACTTAGCTGCCCGTTCCTCTCACGGTGCGATATTTCAGCAATGTTCCCATTGTTGTCATAACAAAGGGGCTGCTAAATCTAAGTCCTCTTCCAGCTGACCATGTTACTCCAGCCTTTTAATGCCTTCCAGCTTCAAAACTTAGTGCCCCATTGGAATGGACTTCAGGCTGAGGGTAGGAGACCATCTTTTTTTTGTTCACTGATCTCTCAGATGCATGCTAAGCATCCCCTGGTCGAGAGCTGATAGACCAAACCAGCCCAGAGGCTCCCACACAAGCTAGGAGGGCAGGAAGAAAAAAGAAATGTGGGACAGGGTTGCACATACAAGGTAGCACAGCAGGTTCTGCACATGTAGGGCCAGACATGGGGCTGTTATAAGACAGTGCAGTTCTGCCAACTTTGGTGGCAGGAGATAGACAGGGTAAGAGGATTAAGAAAGTGGGAGGTGATGGGGTGAGAAGATAGAAAGAGAGTAGGTGAAAGGGGAGGAGGCAGAGAAGCACCGGGGTAGGGAGCTGCAACTGGGGTGGAAGTAACCGTGTGGGAGTCAGTTGTGATTCCCTGAGCCCAGTTGCCTGAAGTTTCAGGATGCTCCCCAGGGGCTGGGGTTGTGCTCAGTCCTGCTCCCAAGGGCCTGGAGAAACAAGGCAAAGACTGGCAAGACCTCTGCAATCCCCATTCCTTGCTAGAACTAAGAGGAGGTACCAGTGGGCCCTGGCTCTCCCCTGCACTCTGCTGACTTACGCTCTTTGCTCAATGAGTTGTAGTCACGCTCTTTTGTGATCAAACAGCCTTAGCTGGAAAGAAATGACCCAGTGAGACCAGTCCACCCATCTGCATTGTTTTTTTAAAAACCACATCTCTGGGAGAGTCATTTATTTTTGGTTTCAGATCAGAAGTTTGCAGTGCCCTATGTGCTGCATTCCCTACAGGCTGGAAAGCTATTTCAGTATCACAAGACCCTTCGTTGCCCTGGGACATACGGTGGAGTAACATGACACAAACCAAACCCAACCCTAGCCAAACCATCCCAAATCCACTGACCTTAAGATGTCTGGCAAATACTCAGACCTGAAGCTGGCTTCAGCCCCAGAGCCTAATTAAGCATTAGAAGCTCCAGTTGGGGGTTTTCAGTGAAATAAATGGCTATGATTTGGTTTATGCCTTCAGGGGTGCAGGGATGGGTGCATAATGGTGTCACAGTCAATCATTTCCAAGCTCCCCAAGAAAGGGCATCATTATCATGAGGACGCAGGATTACTAAAGGCTTCCCCACTTTAATATTTTGAAGTTAGAGAATGTTTTCATGGTGGGGAAGGGCAATGAATGGCTTGTAATGGACGGGGACATGAATGGTTCCCTAAAAAAAATACATTTCCTGACACTTGAGCTTTCTGACAGACTCCTGAAAGGTGTGAGCGGAACCAGTGGGAATGAAACTCCATGGCCATGTTCCCCAGGGTCTCCTAAAAAGAGGCTACGGTTCACAGCACAGCCAAACGGCCTCATTTGCAAGAGCAGCAAATGCCACTCCCAGACAAATCCAAGACGTTTCAACTGAGGAACATGTACATTATGTGTTGCTCCGGTAGATGGTCATGCTCATGACTTTCTCATGACTTTTATGACCATTTTGCCCTCCTGGTGAGAGCACGCATTTCCAAGAGCAGCAAAGACTGCCGAGCGTGGAAGTTGGCTGGCACAGAGCTTCCTCACGAGCTCCAAATCTTGGCCAACTCTGACAAATAGTTCGTGAACCTTTCAGAAAACCCGGATGGAGCTACACGTGATGTGGGTTGGAGTCGGTGTGAAACTGAGCGGCATGATGCCTCCTACCCAAACCTCAGAAATGCACAGGATAAGAGCCTTGGAGGTATCCGGCTCCTGTGGTCTTCATTGGAAGTTACGGCCCAGATGCTCGGAGGTGCTCAGTCACTGCTCTAGACAGGAGTCCAGCACCTAGCCCCGTGGCAGCCTGCCACAGAGTGGAAAACCAAGCCTGGAGGTTGAGGCTCAAGCCCCCTGTATAATGAAAGGCAAATAAGGTGCCTGAAGTAGGGAACCACACAAACCAACTGAGCTTGGACCTGCCCAGCTAGCCAAGGCCGGGGAGCACAGAAAAGGAGCAGGCCTTAGATCACCTCATCTGTCATCTCTGCATGTTGGTTGGTGCATATCTCTGGCAAGACAGGTGCCCCCTGCATTTGGGCTTGTCAGATACAAAACTTCATCTGGCACCTAACCCAGCTCAGAGAGCAAAAAAGGGCTTGAAATAGTCGATAGCCAGCTGGCTAGGGCACTCACTGTGTATGCAGATTCAAAGCCCAGCTTTGTCTAACTTGGAAGAGGGACTTGAACCCCCATCACATGTGAATGCTTTAACCACCATACTATTTGCTGTGCCATGGTGTGTCCATCTCTTTTTGGAGCTAATCCACTTTGAATAAATAGTTATTTATTGGGTCTATATTGGGCTGTAACCTGAGTTATGGGAAATAACTTGACAGCAGAGTGCCTGAATGTCTTCACAGACAGTCTCCCTTCAGAGCATCCTGTAACAGGCTTCTCCCTAATCCTCACCCGCACTGTCTAGGTGCAAGGTGAGAGAGAGGTGCCTTACGTGTGAGGACAGCAAAGCGAGGCATGTCGCCATTGAGCTAAACCTGTTCAATGAGTTTCCGGGCAAGGACCAGCAGCCAGCTCCCTGACGGTCCCCCTTCTTCATTGCACCTCCAAATCAAGCTTTGAGTGTTTGTGGTCTTGATCAAGATCCCATTAAAATCAATGGAAAGGGTCTTCAGTGGGCTTTGGCTGCACATGCAAAGGGCTTTAGATCTACTGTCATGGGTCTTTGCTGCAGGCTGATATGCACTAGTGATTTCCAGTGTTCCTGCTGCAATGGCTCAAGCTATCACTTAATCATTTGCTAGATGCTGTCCTGGCTGAGATCAATGGGAAGCCTCTGACCCACTATGGCAGGAGCAGGGACACAGGTTTATAATGAATGAGACCAGCCAAAGTCAGGTGCCCTCTCCTTTCCTATTGTGGCAAGTGGTGCCATTTGCCAGTCTCGCCTGCGGAGATTATTTTGTCCTGACTTTGTTCCCTGCTTCCCCCACACACCCTTCCAACTGTGGGAGAACAGCTCATGAACCTGTGTGACTTGCCTCCAAACAGAAAAACCATTGTCATGAATTTTTCAAGGCAGTTTTTATTCATGATTGGGTATTTATGGCAGCTGGGAAGACAGGAAGGGTAATGTTCCCCCACCTGCAAGGAGCTGCAGAGCAGGCAGTGTCTGCATAGTGCATTTATAAAATCCTCCCCACACTGAGCAAGGCCCATGGCCTTCTACACAGAATTGGAAAATGGTCATTTCAGTCGATGGAGTCTCTCCCTGATTGTCCTGTTTGTAGAGCAAGGAGCAGAGTGCTGCCTTTCTCCCTCTGCCCCCACCCCAGAGCTGATGGAGTTTGACCCATGGACTCTGTAGGTCTCTTCAGGTCTCTGCAGATCTCTTGGGACCCATCCCCACAAAAGCCCTGTATCTCTGGGCCCTCACCCCCTGTGGCAACAAGAGCTCTGTTGGTGCCTAAGAAGTCTTTCTTTGGATGAAAGAGAATGACCCTCATCTTTGGAAAAACCAGTTAGCAGTAATCTTCAGTAAGAATCTCCACCGCTTGAGATGGAGAACATGGCTGGAGGGAGCATTTGCTTCCACTTGCACACATATGTGACATGCACACTCTTCAATTGAGTTAGCTCTCCCGATTCTCAGTAGCAAAAGCTCACCCGCTACACGAGTCACGAGTACGAAGCAGGCATTTTCCTCCTGGACCTGGGGTCAGTTCCAGGGGGAAACGTGAACACATTTCTGGGTGCATCAGGAGCATCGTTTAGTCCACATGCCTGGGAATTTTTCTCTAAGTGCATGAGGGCCCGGAAAGGAAATTCCCTCTGAACCAACCTGACCTGTTGTCACATTAACAATGGACAGTAAGTGCGTTCGGTTTGCGATGATCCAAAATGGTGTTGCTAGCTCAGGTGAGGAAGCGAATTAAATACGGGTTGACACCTTCAGTCTTTCATCGGAGCCCATCTCTCCCTTTCCTCCAGACCAAGTCCGCAACAGCTACTACATCGGTGCTGACGGTTCTCTGCGGCTGATGCTTGCTAATGGCATGGAGGTGGCACTGCAGACCGAGCCCCACCTCCTGGCTGGCACGGTGAACCCAACAGTGGGGAAGAGGAACGTGACTCTGCCCATCGATAACGGCCTCAATCTGGTTGAGTGGAGGCAGCGGAAGGAGCAAGCCAGAGGGCAGGTCACTGTCTTTGGGCGCAGGCTGCGGGTGAGTCTCTCATGTGTGATGTTGGATTTTAATTGGCAGTCAGATCCAGCAGGGAGGGCACTGCTGGTTCACTGTAGTGTTAGGAGAGCTGCACGCTTAGACTGGTCATAACAAGCTTAATGTTCAAATCCAGCACATCAGATACTTAAGTTAGAAACAGGCACAAAAATCTACACGTGCATTCCCAATTGCAGCCAGCGCTTTGCTTGCATGTAAGCTTGGACCCCGTCACTCTTAATTCAGCGTACAGGCTCTGAAACACTTCTAAATGCATTCGAGTCACCAATCGGGCAGCACAGTGAGAAACATCTCTAGGTAGACTGCCCTGCCCATCTCAGTCCCACAGGCTGAACCACGCTCTCTCTCCTCTGGGAACGCACAGTCGATTTTGCACTTGTGACTGGCATGCCTGGAACGTACAGTTGCCACATGACAATGCTTTCTGCCAACTTGTCTGTGCTTTTGAAAGGTCTAGCCCAATAAGCCAGTAATTACAATAATATTCCAACTTGCATGGTCTCAGCATCCATAAATTCAAGCTGCCATTCCTTGAACCAAGGGCTGTGCGTGGCTCACAGGAAGCAAGATGCACCTGGCAAGATCCAGCCCCCTGAGACTGGTGCTTCAAGTGGAGTTTAATGTCACTGGAGAGAGAGGATTCAGCAGTTCTTTCCATGCACTAAAGCTGGACAGTCAATATGAATAAGCCCAGTTTCAGAATATGCATTTCCTGATCTCTGCTTCTAATCATCATTTGTTTTTTGCAGTATGTCCCCTGCACCATTTCTCCTCTTTCCACCTACACTCACACTTGCATGACATGTTTCACATTCTCCCCGCCTGTCTGAGTTGCATTTGATCTCCTTCTCCAGCGTAGGCCATATCATGAAGCACCCGTACTTTTCACTTGCTTTTTCTATCACAAATGGAAACCGGTGCTAACAGAACTCAGTGGTCCATGCTTTTCATTTCCCCTGTTTATCAAGGAATAAAACCCATTGCCAACAGAAGCCAGTGGGAGCCGGGTTACATGTGTCGGAAGCCCTCCTTGGAAGCTGCTTTATGCATGTGGATCAGCTGGCTCAAATATTCTTATTTTTCCATTTAATAACCAATAAAATTGAGACACGAGTCTGGCGTAGAGGGAGAGGAGCCTGTGAAACCTGCAGCTGTGTCAGAGCAACGTGGTGCTCAAAGCAGTTTCCGCCCATTTAGCTGCAGCTCAGCTGGCCTTGGCAGTATTATTTTCTCAGACCTTCACATTGGAATGGGTTTTTATTGTGTACTTTTGAGCATTTGGAAAATCACTTTATAGGTCTGTTTCCAAGCTGTTGATCTGTGTTTCTGTCACTCTGTTGAGGTTGACTCATGCTCATAGCCTGGTAGGGCCCAGTAAGCAGCCAGGTATATGGCATTATTCAAAGATGAAGCTGTGAGTGGCTCCATGCTGGGGATGCAGCACAGTTGAGAGTGTACAAAGCATTTTCACCTGCCTCCACACACCGGTGCAAGCTGCGTCCACACCCTCATGGCGCCATCCACGGTTGCTAATTACCTCCCAGATGGTATCAAGTACCTTTACTTGGCATCATTATAGATCTGTAGTTGTCTCTCTTCCTATATCATAAAAGGCAGAAGGACCCTCCTTTCCCTGGTCAGTGAAAAGCTTGAGGGAAGCTTTAGTTTAACACATGATTGAGAGAGATAATTCAGAGCCCAATGAATATTATCCACTCTATGCGAATGTCCCTAAAAATATACACTTTCCCCCCACCACAACTCTGCTAATAGCTATTTGCTGAAAGGCAGCAAAACCAATCTAGTTCTGCTATACTAAGGAGGCAAAGCATAAAGAGAGCATCTGAAGAGGTTCAGATGTTCGGCCTGCAGCTCCAAACAGCTCAGTTCACAGGAACAGGTCTCAGGAGTGGAGGAAAGGATGTGGTGAATGGATTCTTGGAAAAATAAAGCAAACACAAACCTAACATGCTGTCTGTCACCGTCATACCAATTGCACTGCTTTGTACAGTCTTTTCCTTTCCTCTGCCCATGGTCTGTCCTGTCTATTTAGCCTATACATTCTTGGCAGCACCAATGGACTAGTACCATCTGTACATCAAGTCTGCTTGGACCTCTCCTGACCTTGAGGCCCACAAGAGCCCAAGCCTGGACGTCTTTCACAAGCATTGCAAGACCTTTCTATTTGGGCAGGCATTTAGCAAACAAAGCTAGGCCGAGATGCTGTTCAGTGCAGGGGGCCTCTGTCTTTTATGATATAGGAATAGCAACAACTACAGAGCTATAATGATGCCAAGTAAAGGTACTTGATACCACTGGATGGCAGATCTACAGCTTATGTACCAGATTTGGCAAATGGAGCCATTTGATTCAGCCCCCGCACATAGGACTATGGTGGCATTCAGCAGCAGGGAGCTTTGGCAGCAGTCACTTTGCTCAGTGCTGTAGCAAGTGGGGGGAGAACAGGGCGACTGCCCTGGGCGCCAAAGCAAAGGGGCACCAACAAGCACTGCCCAGCCGAGGTGGGGCACAGGACAGAGTCATAAGCGGCTTTTGGGGGTAGGGGGCATGGGGACACAGGGATGGTGGCTCACACTGCTGCGTGCACTCCCAGGAAAGTATGGGGGGGCATGTGACCCACCCAGATCTGTACACAAGACGGATCTGTACAGTCTGCACTGATTTTGCTGTGCCAGTGTGGCAAGAAGCACCAGCTGTAGGTGCTGTCCCTGTGACAACAGGGGCACAGCAATGGTGGTGACTGGGTCCTTCCACCCACCCACCTCTGACCCAGACTGGGTCACTGTGGCGCTCAGTCTGAAAGGCTTGTTGCCTGCTGGTTTAGTGGGTCTCTGTTTCATTTTGAATTTCTAGTTGCCCTTTTATGCTCTTCTGTTTTCCTGTTCTGAGCCACCCTGAGCCTTTGTTGTGAATGGCAGCATATAAATTGCATAAATAAATAACCCTCTGCGCTGAGCAGAGTGGAGCTCCATTCTTAGCTGCTTCATAGGCCTTCCCATAGCAAATGCAATACAGCAGTAACTTAGAAAAAATAATAAATAAGACACATGCAAGGAATAATTCCAGGGTAGCAGAGAGGGGGTTTTATTCTGCAGGCTTCGTGGTGCAACAGGAGCTACCGGGTACCTGACACATTTACTATGGAGTTAATCCATATTTCACTTGGCCTTGCAGGCGAAGTGGAGGAAGCACACCCCATAAGTTCAAATAAAGTGAGGAGTAATGATATACCAGCAAAAGCTACAGCAGGGCACCTGCAGTATGTCAGCTCCCCAAGACAGTTTCATCCTTTTTCTTAATGCAGACTTTCTCCTCTGCCATCTCGTGGCCAAATGCTGTAACAGCCCCTTCTGCAGACAGCTCCATGTATCCTTTCCTTACTTCGGAGTAGCCATACTTCAGAGTAAGATCTGGGGCAAATGACTCCATGACAATCGTGTTGTGTATGTGTGCCGCCAGAGCAGCTGTGCTATCTCCCTACAGGGACTTCCATTCAGAATGAAGAGCTGAGGGAGCTCTGCTTGGGGCTTGTACATTCAGGCCCCACACTGGAGGCAGGATTTGGCTCTTAACCTGTGTTAATTTACAGCCTGGCTGAGCTGGGGTTGGGTTACAGTGTTTGTCATCTGTCTCCATGGTGCCAGTTTTGCTGACTGGGCTCTTTTGTGCTTCATCAGTCAGCAGCACCGTGCGGCAGCCTGTTCACTCTGCATCCCCTACACGGACCCCGCAAAAGCTTCTAATTGGCCCTATCAGCATGGCAGATTGATAGCATTATTGGTTGGCTGGCTGCAAATTCACCGCTGCCAGTAACAAATGGCTGTGCGCAGGCTCCGTCCAAAATTAGCCTCTTAGCTAGAACACTGCTCCTGATAATAGAACTCATTTTTTTTTATGAGCGTGAACTTTTTAATAAAGAAGGATGTAAAATAATCTCTGGCTGAGGAAAACGCAAAGCAGCAGACCGAGACAGGGTTGTTTGCTCGGCCTGTTTTATTTAACCAGAGATCGACCCAGTGGGATGAGTTGTGTTCCCCCTCCCAGCCCCCAATCCTGGTAGTAAGACAGCAGCAGCAATGGCATCCCTTGTCACAACAATGAACCCCAGCCGGCCGAACTACAGAAATTGTGGATGCAAATTCTGTCGACTTCTTGACTAATTAGGCTAACCAACCTCTTCCTCAGGACTTCTATTGGGAGCCTGGTCCCAAAGTCCAACACGCCCATTGCTATTCACCATTGAAAGCTGGTATTGCGTTCCACTGGGTTTGAAGGAGCTCTTGCTACAGAGGTATCATTTGCACTCTTATAGTTAAGGTTGCCTCCAGATTTTCATTGTACAGAGGAGATTGCTTCACATGAGTTTGTCCATATTTTCACCTACAGGAACACAGTCAGGGATGGCAACAAGTGATGGCTCTGCCCCTGCACCCCAAAAAATAGCCTAATTATTTGTCATATTAGTGGTTCCCAATCTGTGGTACACGTACCACCAGTGGTACACAGACAACCTGTCAGGGGTACACATGAACAGATTTATTATAATTACTTTATATGACAAAAATTTGCTGGTGGTACTTAAGGTTGTAAATTGGTGGTGTGCAATCTCTCAGAGTTTGGGAACCAATGTGTTATATTAATCATTCCTGGGGTACAAGTTTGAAGGGCTTTTTAGTTGAGTTTTTGGGTTAGTTTTTTGGGGGGGGATTGTTTGGGGGTTTTTTGGTTCCTGAACATTAGCTGGCAATTACTTAATTATCTATCAAAGTGGGAGTTGCATACTTTTAGTGATCACTGCTGTGTTTAAATTTACCCAGTCCAGTGCTTTGGGTGCCTACACACTTGGTCAAGTGTAGCGTGCAATTCAGACATATAAATCTGAAAGACTAGAATATAGCTCTTGGGCCAATTCCTGAGGTCCTTCCTCAGTCCCTACTTAGCAAATTCCAAGAACATTAACAGGATATGGACCATAAAAAAGACTTACAGATTTGACCCATATTTATTACTGACCCTCTAAGGTGTGCCTGGCAGTGTTCACTTGGCTAGTGCTCTTTCTGCCGCAGAGCACCCCTGACCCACGGAGCTTGTATCCCTGAGGCATTAATGGATAAGATACCTTACAGGAAAAATCATCCCATGCTACAAATAGGCCATCACAAAGAGGTCTGGTCCATGCAGCTGAAAAGGTAGATTTGTGGGTGCTGTTTAAAAAATAAGAGCTGTGGGAATCTTGCTTCCAACAAGAATCCATCGCATGGACTTATGGTTTAGGGTATAATTAGTTTAATCTGGCATTGCTTGCCAGAGAGTGGGGGACTGAGTGACTTCAGGGCACTAGTAATGGCATACAGAGATTTGAACCAAGCCTAATGGGTGCCAGGGGACCTGTGATTCAGTCCAGTAGCCATGACTGGTGCTGTTGTTGATATGCTGAGCACAGAGACCACCTGGAGATAGAATTAGACCCAGCGCTGAAAGAGCTCCATCCAGCTCCGCTGGCGGCCGGCCGCACATGGGAGCTTGCGGTGGTGGTGCCTGGGCTGCGCTTGTCCTGAGAATAAATGGAAGGCAGATACATTTTTCCTTCCCTCTCCTTATGGGTAATTGCTGTTTCTCTATTTATAGTAGCAGAGTCCCTTCTACATATCAGCTTGCTCTGTTAGTTACGTATGTGCATCTGTAGTTAGTTTTGATTCCTTCTTAATTATTTCCCAGCTTGCCTGTTATTATGGGATTCTGGCTGATTTCCTGCTTCTCCCATTACCCGTTTACATTTTATTTTAAACTCTGCTGCATATTTAATTTTAGCAATGTCTGCCTTGGCTCCATGTTAACCTCTAGTTTCCTCTTATCTTCCATTTACCTTTGCTCTCCACCATGATGGCGTGGCCTTGGTTGTCTCCTTCTCTTCCCGCATCTGTTTAATCTGCAGATCTACCACCAATTCTGCAGTGGTGTTTTGCTCCTGCCAAAGCCTGGAGAGCTGGGACTCTGGGTGGGCAGAGACGAGGGAGTCTTGGCCATTGGTAAAGTCTTGAGCTATGGCTGGAGCTGAGAGCAGGGCATTCTTAGTCACAAGGACAGACCCATCATCTCACACAGAAACACCTCCATGTCACATTGCTTCCTTTCCCAAGCAGTCTACTGCATTTCAGACTGTTTTATTCCTCTTCAGAAACAGGCAGAAGTTTTCTATAGCCTGCATCCTGCTCACTGTCTCTTCCTTTCTCTGTAGCACTGGTTTCTTCGGTTTAATGCCATACCACCTTCTTCTTCCAAGAATAGTATTAGTATTACTACTGTCATAGTGGCCTAGAAGCCCCAGTCACAGACCAAGTGACTTTCCCTTTGCAACTGTGAGCTTTTCCCATTCAGACAAGTCCTCCTCTGTTTTTCCCTCTTCTGCTTCAGATCTTGGTGCAGGACAATCCTGCATTTATTTTCTTGGACCTAGTCCATTAGCATTTCTCTCTGCTTAGAGGATGTTTATTTAACTATGTATTTCCCTCCCTTGCTCCTGCCAGAGAATCACTAGGAATTCAACAATGTGCTCAAAAATAATAGCCCAAGATCAAACCAAAAACAGGGCTGAAATTAGATGTTGCACTCCATTGAGGAGTGCCCTGGGTTTTATTCATGGTAAGATGGAGAACCTACCAGCAAGTTCTCCATGGGGTTGGGTTTTTTTATTATTCTGTGCACAATGCTGCCATACTATAGTGCTGTTGCGTTATAAATGGCTGCACACACATAGATAAAGAGTGATTGTATTGCTAGTTAGTATTCATAACACTTTGGATACAGCCTCGGAATGAAAATACATTTTTGCTGTTACCTTTGAAGTATATACCTTTGATCTTGTCTTCAACTGAAGCTGCAGCAGCAATTGAAGCAACAGGAATGTGATTACTTGAGGCAGAATTGAGCTAGGACAATGGTGTCAAGAGCTCCAACTCTTGTTGAAAGGGTCATGGGGTCTATAATGACTCCAGATGGTCAGAGCTTCCATATTACATCCCAGAGGAAAGACTGCACCACTGTTAAGTCACTTGTCACTGTTCAAGTGATTAATGCAGAGTCAAAGGAATGAGTTCAACCCGCTATTCCTTGCAGTATTCACGAACACACTGACCTAATGCCATGTCCTTTTTTCAGATTTATGAACTTGGGTGTCTGTGAAAGTGAGAGGACTTAAGCATCCCAGGCATATTGCAAGTACCTTGCAAACTACCCCTCTAAAGTCTTGCTATTATACTTCTTTCAGACTTAGGCCTTCACTGCTGCAATAGAAAAAGCTACTCTTGGCAAAGACTGTCTGATGGTTTTCTCATACTGAAGGTAGACTAAAACTAAGGTGGGCTTTCAGACACACACTAGGTGTTGTCCGAGTCCTGATGCCAGTGAAATCACTGGTAAAACTCACACTGACATCAGTAGAAGTAGAGGCAAAGCAACAAGTGCTGTGGCTGTCTCACCCTAAGACTGTTAATATATAGACATCTGTAGCATCAAGACTGATTCAAAGGGGCATTTGGTGCGATGAAGCTAGTTCTTGCGATTTCTGACATGCTAATTTGTCTTTCAATCCCCTAGGTGCACAACAGGAACTTGCTATCCCTGGATTTCGATCGCGTGACCAGAACAGAAAAAATCTATGATGACCATCGCAAGTTCACACTGCGGATCCTATATGACCAAGCAGGGAGGCCCAGCCTCTGGTCTCCTAGCAGCAGACTGAATGGTGTGAATGTGACATATTCCTCCGGGGGACACATTGCAGGCATCCAGAGAGGAACGATGTCAGAGAGGATGGAGTATGATCAGTCAGGCAGAATTATATCCAGAATCTTTGCTGATGGAAAATCATGGAGTTACACTTACTTAGAGAAGGTGTGTCCTCTTACCGACTGCAGCTCATTCTTTTTTCATGTGATACACTCACTCTAGATTCATTCATTGTAGATACACAGCCAGGGTAGATTGGCTTCACTCCTTTGACTTTGTCTCAGCTGAGAATCTGCCCTTTAAAGTTTAATACACACTCATGTGTAATCCTATTTAAAGGATGTTGATAACTCTGGTAGCCAACTTTCAGACAACAAAAAAAGCTAGCACTGAGTATTCCCCAAAAAACAAGACTGTCCCTCTGCTCCTGCCCCATTCCCTACGCATGTGGATTAACCTGCAAATCTTTGGTTACTTAAACAGAACAGTCTCATCTTGAGTTAGATACCACACATACATTTTTAGGTAAAGACAGATCACGTTGGGGTGATCACATTAATCAGATTGCATTCATTGAAAAGATACAGTGAGTTCTGATAAAGGTAAGCACACAGTAGTGACTGAAAGATTTTTCTATATAATATAGGACCAAACAATCCATAGAGTCCAGCTTCCTGTCTTCTGCAAAGGCTTATTCCAGATGCTTCATAGGACAGGAGAAGAGCAAGCAAGTTAGGTGGCCATATGATGATTGGCTGCATTTTAGTTTCTCTGCGATCTACAAAGACTACTTGGGTTATGCAGACCACAAGTGCTCCTTGGGGTAGAGTTTAGAGATCCCTTGTCCTGAGAAACTGCCTTTTTTTGTAAAATTTTTGTAAAAGTTTAGAATGAAGAAAATAATTAATTCATTGTTTTCCCTATTCCAGTCCATGGTGCTGCTTCTTCACAGCCAGAGGCAGTATATCTTTGAGTTTGATAAGAATGATCGATTGTCATCTGTGACAATGCCCAACGTTGCCCGACAGACCTTGGAAACCATCCGCTCTATCGGATACTACAGGAACATCTATAAGCCTCCAGAGGGCAATGCCTCAGTCATTCAGGATTTCACTGAGGAAGGCCAACTCCTTCATACCTTGTACATGGGGACAGGGAGGCGAGTGATCTACAAGTATGGGAAGTTATCCAAGCTAGCTGAAATGCTCTACGACACCACAAAGATCAGCTTCACTTACGATGAGACTGCAGGGATGTTGAAAACAATCAACCTGCAAAATGAGGGGTTCACCTGCACAATCAGATACAGGCAGATTGGCCCACTCATAGACCGCCAGATCTTCCGCTTCACTGAGGAAGGTATGGTGAATGCCCGCTTTGACTACAATTATGACAACAGCTTTAGGGTGACTAGCATGCAAGCAGTGATCAACGAAACACCATTACCCATCGATCTCTACAGATATGATGATGTGTCAGGCAAAACAGAGCAGTTTGGTAAATTTGGGGTCATCTACTATGACATCAATCAGATCATCACTACCGCCGTGATGACTCACACCAAACACTTTGATGCCTATGGCAGAATGAAAGAGGTTCAGTATGAGATATTCAGGTCACTCATGTACTGGATGACTGTGCAGTATGACAACATGGGAAGAGTGGTGAAAAAGGAGTTGAAAGTTGGCCCATACGCCAACACGACAAGGTACTCTTATGAGTATGATGCTGATGGCCAGCTGCAGACCGTGTCTATCAATGACAAACCACTTTGGCGTTACAGTTACGATCTAAATGGAAACCTCCATTTGCTTAGCCCTGGGAACAGTGCCCGCCTTACTCCGCTCAGGTACGATCTCAGGGACAGGATTACAAGACTAGGGGATGTGCAGTACAAAATGGATGAAGACGGTTTCCTAAAACAAAGAGGGAATGACATTTTTGAGTACAGCTCAGCTGGCTTGCTCATCAAAGCCTACAATAAGGCAAGTGGATGGAGTGTGAAGTATCGTTATGATGGCCTTGGAAGAAGAGTCTCTAGCAAAACAAGCCATGGCCATCATTTACAGTTTTTCTATGCAGACCTAACCAGCCCCACCAAAGTCACCCACTTGTACAACCATTCAAGTTCTGAGATCACCTCCCTCTACTATGACCTCCAAGGCCACCTCTTTGCAATGGAGCTCAGCAGTGGAGATGAGTTCTACATCGCTTGTGATAACATTGGGACCCCTCTGGCTGTCTTCAGTGGGACAGGCTTAATGATCAAGCAGATCTTATACACAGCATATGGAGAAATCTACATGGACACCAATCCCAATTTCCAAATCATCATTGGCTACCATGGAGGCCTGTATGACCCTCTCACTAAGCTCATCCACATGGGCCGAAGAGACTATGACGTGCTAGCTGGGCGGTGGACAAGTCCAGACCACAACATGTGGAAACATCTGAGCAGCAACAACATAATGCCTTTCAACCTTTATATGTTCAAAAACAACAACCCTATTAGCAATTCTCAGGATATCAAATGTTACATGACAGGTAATACTTCTCTTTATCTTTTTAATTAATTTCTACTCATGCTGGTTTTGTTCAAACGAGCCCACAGTTGGTAGATAGGTTCCTCCTCCTTCAGCAACCTAGTCACAGATTTTTTTTTAGTATAGATGGAGCCTGAAATTATAATGTAAAAAAAAATCTTTAAAAAACCCAAAAAACTTGTCAGTCCTTTATCCACTACACACAAGTAAAAAAAGGGCACTTAATATGTTTTTCTCTTGAATGACACTTTTAACCCTTCTTCAGCAGACATTTATTTGAATCCATAGACTTCATGACATATTTAAGCCAAGATCCCCATGCCTCTCCAATTAGTTTTCTTAGAAAAGAACCCTAGCCAACCCCACCAAGGTCACCCACTTGTACAACCATTCAAGTTTTGAGGTTGCTTCCCTCTGTTAGGACCTCCAAGGCCACCTCTTTGCAATGGAGCTGAGCAGCAGAGGTGAGTTCTACATCCCTTGTGCTGAGTATGAGCTTAGCTACCTATCCCCACCTCATTAGGAGCCCTTTACAGGATCTAGCATTACCCTGGGTGAGAATCACTGCCTTAAAGCCTCATCTTCATAGTTTCATAGTTTTGTAGTTTCTAGGGTCGGAAGGGACCTGAGCAGATCATCAAGTCCGACCCCCTGCCTCGGCAGGAAAATGTACTGGGGTCAAACAACCCCAGCAAGGTGTTCATCCAGCCTCCTCTTAAAGACCCCCAGGGTAGGAGCCAGCACCACTTCACTAGGAAGTTGGTTCCAAGTGAAGTGGTGTATGTGTAATTACACATCTGAGTATGTGTGACTCACGGTAACAGAGTCAAGCTCCAGTTCCAGATATGGGATGCATAAAAAGGTCCAGCATAGCAGGTGTCTTTTCTTCTGTGATCTCATCGAATCATGGAAAATTAAGGTTGGAAGGGACCTCGGGAGGTCATCTAGTCCAGTGTTTCTCTACCCATGGGTCACGACCCAAAAGTGGGTCAAAAGAATATATGAAAGAGTCATGAACAAACTTTAAAAATGGATTCTCTTTTATAGGAGAAAAACGTAGGAAACCATGGCTTTTCCCTTGCAGGCTGTCAAAGTCCCAGCCTGCAAGGGGCTACTTGGGACCCCCCTTGCCCCACACACCCACCACCTGCCCCACACACTGGGGGGCTGGGGCCCTGGGCAGGGGGTCAGGAGTGAGAGGCACTGGGTCGGGACTGACCATTGATGTTTACAAATGGGTCCTGGTACAAAAAAGGTTGAGAACCACTGATCTAATCCAACCCCCCTGCTCAAAGCAGGACCATCTCCTTCCCTTCATTCTCTTCTCCGGGGCCCGTTTCTTCAAATTTCCCTGTTTCATTGCTGATGGACATCCTAATAATGCTTCCCATTTATGCCGGTACTTTTGTTCGCATCACTTGCAGTGAGCTGCAAGGAAGAAGCCCAAACATGGGCTTGTTTCACCAGCATGGCAGGAGCAACCTAAACCTTTTTCACAGCTGGGCATCTCTGAGGCCCTTAAAATAACAGTGGCTTTCAAAGTTAATCCATCCTGTAGAGGTAACAGTTAGTGGTTAAAAGCCAGTACCAACAGCTATTGTGTGTCTTCAAGTTAGATTTAAACAGGGAAAGGTCAGGGCCTTCCCTAATGTCAACAGCTAACAAGGTCTACAAAGGGGTTGTTTAAAACAAAGAATAAGTGGGACCTGAAGTGTATCAGTAGAAAAGGAGCGAGGAGACCTGCCTTACTTGACGGTAGTGCTCAGATCAGATAAAACAAACTCATTGCCCCGTCCTAGGTTCCTTCTCTACACGTGTGCATCCAGGCAAACAGGATGCAGGCCATCAAGCACTTATAAAACGTGTGTATGAGCCACACCTCTGTCACGTATTTTACAAGAGAAAAGAAAGCCGCTTTAGACAGGTTTTTAAAAATTAGATTTGAACCCTGTTACACATCCCTGACCTGCAATACTACCTTGACTTGGTTACATGGAGGCAAACATGCTCAGATACAGCTTTAAGGCAGTGCTTCTCAACCAGAGCAATGCTAGATCCTTTGAAGGATCCTAACAAGGTGCGAGGGCATAAGTGAGGTGTGAGAAGATAAGCAGCTAAACGTATGCTCAGGCTGGTCCCTGTCTGGGCCATCCCTCACCCCCATTACCTGGCCCCTTTAATAGGGAGGTAAGCACTATATTATATATATTAGTTTTTTTAAACTGGGCACCACGCGGTTCATAAAAGTTACGGAGGAGAGGTGCCTCAAGTCCAAAAATGTTTTGAACCATTGCTTTAAGGAAACACCAGGAACTCTCACTAAAATCACACGAGTTGGCATCACTATGGCAGTTAAAGCAAGCAAGGAATGTATAAACAAAATAGGTATCATCAAAGGGTGCCTGTTTGTGGGAAATGGTCTGTTTTGTTAAATTTCTCATTTAAAACCATGTTTCGGAAAGTTTTGGAAAGCTTTCAGTGGTACATTTCAACATTTTCAAAATAGGACAAGTCTGTTTTTCTCCTTGAAATATCTTTTCAAGTCCAATTTAAGCTAATGCTAACCAAAAAAAAGCAAGAAAAATTAAAAGGTCAGAAATAAAAATGAAACCTTTAAAATGACGGCACCAAATGGAAGCTTCTCTCCAATTGTCAATTTGTGACAAATGTTGAATTTTTCATTTTTCAGCTCAGTTTGAGACAGAAAATTCATTTTTAACATCTCAACAGCTTTCCAGATGCAGAAATAATATGTTCCCATATTTCAGTGTATGATAGTGCAGAACTGAGTTTTGGCAGTGCTGGTCATGAACCCGTGTCTATGATCAGTGTCATTTTTGTAAGAGTGTAATTATTTCAATTAGGAGTGTGCTTTCTTTAACACAAACATATTTGTACACCTGTTGTATTGATGCAGTGATATTAATTTGAAGGTCCTTTGTGGTGACAGGGCTCATTCCTTTTCCCATATAAGAATAGCTATGCTAATTATTCATCTGTGTTTACCCATATAATGATATCCCCACTGGGCCATTGTATTGCATTAACTATGTCAGTATAGCTAAAGAGATTCAGCTCTGGATACAGACATGGCCTGCAAAGCTCTTTGAAAATGAGAGGTCCTGTGTAAACTCTGAGCATTATTAATTGCCTTTTCTGTGGTCAGAAGACCTGTGTGTTCCAGTGGTCTTGAATGGTTTCAATGGTTCAAACCCAAACCAGACAGGAGGGATTAGACAAAAAGCAACCCAGTGATCATCCAGGATGTCTGATAGGCCAGCAGCCCAGCCTCAGAAAAACACAGAAGCCCAACAAGGCAGGCACTATGGCAAGCAGCACAGAGACCGCAAGGGAAGGATTTGACAGTATTAAGAGGCCCCACTCTGCCCTGCTCGCTGCCACCTCCTGAGCTCGTATTAATGTTGCTGGATGTCTACACTGTGAATCTCAGGCAAGGAGCATCCCTAGCCAGCATGCTCAACTCTACCAGTGAGCTCCAGGTAGGGAGCTGCCATCATCTTGTGCCCCGCAGCGTGCCGTTGCTTCCCTTGGCAAAGCAGCAGCCAGTTCACAGACTAATGAGACCCACCTCCGTCCTGAAGTAAAAGACTTCCGCGCTCATGTATACAAATTGGAAGCGCGCAGAGGGGGTGAGCGGGAGAAGCAGGTATTTACGTTTTGAGAGGCCCATTGTTAAACATGAATATTTTAGCAATTGTACACTTCACGGTGCAGTGCTTTGCTGCCAGCCTCAGCAAACCTGATGAATTGAACTGACATTTCCATTACATGTGTCTGCATTAAGCACTGTTTTCCGGTGCCCTCAAATGAATTTACTGTGAAATGTGTTAGCAGGGTTACTGTAGCTGGGGGGAAAAAAAAAACCTACACAATACGAAATATACTTTTCTGTCAAAAAAAAAGTTGTCATTGCATTTTGGCAAATTCATATTTTTCCCCCCTGTTCTCTTAGCTCTGCCCTCCCCATGTGATTTTTTTTTCCTCCTGTGCTTTGCAAACCCCTCTCCTCCAAAAGAGCAAACAGCTGTTTTCCAAGTCAAATTGGTGAGAAGCAGCAAACGAAGCCTGGTTCCAACCTTTTCAGACACATTACATATTTGTCCTCCTGTTCAGCAGCCCCTTCTGTGCCCTTTCAAACATTATTTTGAATGCGCCTGGTGAATGTCTTCTGTATCCCCGCTGCCCGTTGTGGATTTGCTTTGTTCTCTTGGCCACCTGGCCTACAATATGCATATCAAAGCTCTTAATTTTGCATTAGGCATATTTGGAAACAGGCTGGAGGAGCACCAAGCAAAAAAAATAATTAAGCGAGGCTTTTATCTCTCCCCACCTCCCTTCAAAGGCCCTCCAAAAACAGTCTGCCCAGTGAGGGAACAGAAGGGTGTTTATTACAGAAATCCTCCTCCTTCCACATGGATCAGGGCAAGTGCTTTCTGGACTCAAGCCCAAACTCCAAATTTTGGATTGCAGGAAGTGCGTGCACACATTTGGCCTCTAATTCTCCAGTTAGCTGGACGTGCGTTATTTGTACTTCGCATCCAAACTACTTTTCCAACGGTCCCTTCAAAATAAAGCACAACTAAGCTCATGCAAGGGGGCAAAAAAGAATAGTGGCCTGTTACTTCATTGGGTTTTTTGGTTCTGATTTTTAACAGATTCCCCCCTTTCCCTAACCCCATCCCCAAATCATCCCGGCAGTGTAAGCTTAATTTGCTCAAATGAAAAGCAAACCTCTTGTTGAGAGAGCCCGAAATAAATGAATCACCAACACAATGCTAATTACCATGTAGAACTCCAGAGAGCCCCAGGACCTGATAGTTAATTAAACTTTGATCTCAGCTTTTCCCAGCCAGGGTGGTTATTCAGAGCCTGGATAAATAATGGGCAGGTTATGTTGTACCTTCCTCCTGGACTCAGTGTAGACAGGCAAGGTTAGGATCATCACACACTCTGAAGCAGATAAAGAGGGCAAAGTCATTCACCTGCCACTCTCAGACAGATCCAGGAATTAGCCTGATTAGTTATTTTTCCCAGCTAGCTACTCACTCGGCTGTCATTCCTAATAGCAATGAAATCAGAGATGTTAGATGTTACTCGGGTATCGAGTGCATCTTCCAGTCCATGCAGGAATGTTCCTGTCCCCTAATCTACTCATAAACAGCCATCTCCCAGGTACTGGAGTTTCTTACTATTTCTCTTCTTGCTCCGTGTGAAATCAGGAGACTTCTTGACTCGTTTGACTGTCACAGATGCAGGCACCACCCCCAGCGGAAGGGCAGGCACCATCATCACCGCTTTGACTGTGGCTGGTTCTGTGTGTATAACCTGGCATGCTAACACAGAGTCTTGTTGAAGAGGTTTAGGAGAAAAAAGTGACATGTAGCAATAAGAAGCTACACTAAAATAATAATGTGTGTGACTTCTGCCTACAAATGCCAGGAAATGCAGACTACAGGGAAAGAAGGTGTGGATACACCTTCACCCTGTATGTCAGCAGGGTGGATAGACATAATGGCCACCTATGTATAAATTAGGTTTGGCAAGCCAGTCAACTGACCAGTCAAATATTGTGAATTGACTGAGTGTTTTTGACTGGTCAAAGATTATGGTAATTTTATTAAAAAACTGCACTTTTGGGTAGTTTTCTTGATAGAAATATGATGCTTTATTGTTTTTTGACACATTTCTTAAGGGAAAAAATTACGCTTTTTCTGTGTATTATTTAGACCTATTGGTAATTTTTTACAATTTTTGACTAATATTTGAATGGTCAATTGACCAAACTTTGTTTGACCAGTATAAATACCCAACCCTAGTATAAATTATATGGATATAAGCTATTACCAGGTAACTGGGCATGTCTACGTGCACAGTAGACTAATTCTACCATGCATTAGCGTGTCACGGCAAAAGCTGTGCTAATGCGTGGTAGAATTAGTCTACTGTGCATTAGTGTCACCTAAAAGATGTGGTCTGGTGCTACTGTTTATGGCACATTAAGTTAATACCTGTTATTACAGATACTAAACTTAATGTGCCATAATTATGGCATATTAATGCACATGTAGACGTGCCCACTGTTACCTCTGCTTTCTTCTACAAGGGTGCCAGAGCCACTATAATGTTATTTCTGTGTCATTCCGGATTAAAGTTGCGGTGATTATGAACACTTCCACATCTCTGCTGGAGCACGCAGAAATAATGGTTACACTGTCACAGGTGATACCAGCTCTGGATGCAACTCCCTCTCCCCTTTTAACGCAGCTCGAAGTTACATCTATCTACAGTCTAAGAGTCATGGGTTAGCACTTCTCTCTCACACACCCAGTCATGTCCTCCCATGTCACCCTTAAAGTGCTGTTCCCTCCTTGTGTGCCCCTGTTCACCAAAGTTGGACATCCATTTCTTATTAACCTGACCTGTAGATGAGCTGGCACTTACCAGCCTTTATTAATATGTTTTTATATGTTGCTTATTCTTTTTGGTAGCAGCATACCCATGCTCAGGGCCCTATGAGCCTTAGGGGAGCTCTGGAACAGAAAAGAAGGCTTAAGTCTTTGACATTTGTCCAGTTTTATTAACAAGAGTTTACACTTCGGCCATGTGAGACATTGGGAATCTTGGGACTGGCACTGGTTGGTTCAGATCAGTGTCCAAACCTGGATGTCACACTGGGATGCAGCAAGATCCTTTTAGGGGTGGCACAGAATATTAGCACTGTTAGGTGTGCAAAAACCTACTCATCATTTGGGAGCTAAACACAGAGATTTCAAAGATGAATCCACAATGCCCTGTTGTGGGCTTTCTGAGTTCTTGGCAACAGAAGGATTGCTCTATTATTTTTCTGTAGGCAAAAACCAAGTGGAAGCAAAGAGCTGGCATTTTCCAAGGGGTGCGTTGAGTCTAAGAAGGCGGAGAACCACTGGTTTAGTGTAATCTCCTTCATCTTCCATGGCTTTGGGATGCAGTTTTTAAAGAATCCTTTTGGGTGATGGTACTTAACGGGGATGAATTATAATAAGCAGTTCGAGGCTGTTTCTATGGCACCTAGCATGGGCGGGGGGGGCTCTGGGTCTATGACTGGGCCTCCTAGACCCTACTGCAACACATGTAACAGTGCATATAACAATATATTAATCTTTCATCTGTTTATCCCATTCCAGATGTCAACAGCTGGCTGCTCACCTTTGGGTTCCAACTCCACAATGTTATCCCTGGATATCCCAAACCAGATATGGATGCAATGGAGCCATCATATGAGCTTATTCACACACAGATGAAGACCCAAGAGTGGGACAACAGCAAGGTGATCCATGCAACTTCATTTTATATTGTAGACACTTGTGTGACCCTTCTTTCCATAGCATCTGGGTGCAATGCTCATTGTAAAAACAAGTATCAGTCTCCTCTGGCAGACTCTCCCAGAAGTCAGCCTGGAAGTAGCTGCAGTGCCTCCCATTGTAGCAATGAAATGTGGCTACTAGATAACCACATCCAGAGCTCTTTACCATTAGTGGGTCCTTTCTGGTGGTTTAGCAAAACTAATCAGTGGTTTTCTTTCCTGCAGAATGCTGTGTTACCCTAGGCCACATGCCAGCCCCCTAAAGCAAGGCATCAGAGGTGATAGAGGACACCTTTTGGTCCTTACACACACCCCCTGAGAGTGAATTGTTTCCTATGGCACACTCTCTAACATTTGTCCAAGCTGATTTCAAGTGACTTCAGGTAGCAGCACTCCCACTACTTCCCTTGGGAGGCTATACTGCCCTGTGGTAGACTGCACCAGAAAAAAGGTTTTACAACAGTTGGCCTAACTTTTGCTTGGTTTAATTTTTCTCCAAATTGCTGCATACTGCTTTAAAAGATTTAGGCCCATATCACAATGCTTTTAACTCATTATAGCAGGCAGTGCTTCTTGAACCAAAACATTTATAACTCACATCTCCATCTGCCTCCTTTCTTCTTCCTGGGAACAGCCTTGCAAGAACACAGGGGATGGCATTATTCAGGGGGCAGGACGCTGGGGCAGGACTCAAGATTCAGGTTCTGTTCCCAACGCTACTACTTATCAACTGCATGACCCTAAGCAAGTCACTTTACTTTCCAACTCCTGTTTCCCTTTGAAACCATAGCTTGCTTGTCTCATTTGTAGCCCTTTCAGTACATGACCTGCCTCTCCCTGTGTGTTTTGCAGGGTACATAGTGCAAAGGGTCCCAACCAAAGGACTTTGGTATATTATCAGAATATGAGTAACAATAAAATATGTTAGCACATGAACGCAGTCAAAGCAGTCTTCCTGGATCCATTATTTTATATGGATCTTCAAGATTTCCTTATAATAGAAATCCCATAGGCAGATGTTACTAGAACCAATCCTTCAAACATGCTACAGCAGAAAAAAATGCAATTTCCTACTTTCCCAAGTTTAAAAAAAAAAAACCTCTAAGCTGCTTTGTTTTCACCTTCATGGATAAAACCAGTAGGCTAATTGAGATAATTCCTCTAACCAGGAACGCCTTTCACATTTTCCTTCCTTTCATGTGACATAAAGACCCCCATAGGCAGAAGTGATGAACACCTTGCTGGGGTCGTTTGACCCCAGTACTCTTTCCTGCCATGGCAGGGGGTCGGACTTGATGATCTGCTCAGGTCCCTTCCCACCCAACCAACTATGAAACCATGAAGTGCACAGGAAAATGTGATGTAAAAGGAGCTCCTGCAATAGGCAACATGGGTGTATTGCTTTGAATTATTTCAACATGAAACAGATAAGAATCGGACGTGTGGCTGGTTGTTTCCTATGATTCTTGCAATATCACGTGGTAGCAGAAAGAAAAAAAATGGCTGATGCTCTTTCGGCCTGTGTAGACTGCCTTCCTAGAGCAGAGAGGTTGTTGGCTCTGTTTGTGGGGCAGGGCACAACTAAGAGGGTATGTTCAACTAGGAGGGAGCTCATTGCCAAAAAAACTTCTAAGCGATTAGGGGGTTGCCATGAGGGAAGAGTAGGGCTCTATATATTGATGCCTTGATTAAAACATGGAGAGGAAAATACACGTGTTAAAACCAAAGAAGGAAATTAAACCAAGTTAAATAGAAGCTCAGGGCATATTTCCTGTTAGAAAACCTGGTTAAGTGATGGAATGGCCTTCCAAGGAGTGTGGAAGAAGTCCCATCATTTAAAAGTAGCCCGGAAAAACACCTGGAAATACAGTTAAGGACAATTTTGCATGCACTCCAGTGGGGGCGGCTTGAGGAGGTCACAGGTTTCTCCATTTAACTCTCTCCACTCTCAAGTCTCAGCAGTTACTCCATCGACTTGAGTGAAGTGGCTTCTAGTTCACATCAATGTAATGACCCAACGCATCGTGCCCCATCCTCATATGAAAAAGAGCAGAGAGTAAGCACAAAGCAAGCAAGCTCCTCGTCTGCGACTGCAGTTTTATCTCCTCCGAGTACATAACCCCGGGAGTCTTGCAGGGAGGGGAGGGGTTCATTCTGAACTTGAGCATCTTTCAGCCCAGAAATATCCAGCGTGTCATAAATGCCGTGCTCAGCTCGGCTTAGCTTAGCTATCCCCCTGCAGCTCCAGAGTGACATTTAAAATCCAATACTCTGTTGGGCAGCACTTTTTTCCCTGCAACTGTGAGGCTGTCACTAAATTGTTTGTTGAACAAGTTCAATGTTATTGGCCAGCAGGGGACTCCTGGTGACCTCTGGCATATTGCAAAGCTGCAGCACCTGAATCCAATTTCGCTCCTTTTTCCCTTTTGTCTTGTTGAACTACCAAGTAATTGCTGGAACGCGTACAGCTCTGTCTGTGGGGAGGGGTGTTTTGGAATCAGTCATCATTTCATTAACTGTACTGCTCTTGGCCGTGTGAGCGCTGGGCTCTGATGACGGGCTTGTTTTCTGCAATGCTAGCTGTGGGAGCGGGCGAGAGGAACCCAGGCCAGCTGGTGGTATTCCTCCTCTGTACCTGGGCTGAGTCGACCTGTAGAGCCAGGGACTAAGCTGCATTGGTTTTGCCTGTGAAATGGGATGGGGGGTGGGGGGTGGCATTTGCATGTGTAACCCTTCTGCCAGGCACCGGTCAAAAGGGCTGGGTTCATATTTTGGGATACCCCATAAATTATACCAGTGGCTCGAGCCCCCACCCAGAAATCTGGGAACATTAGATTTGCTGGGGTGTCCCATATAAACAACACCCCCTCCTTCCACCAATATAAACACAAAAACCCAAATTTATTACAGGGAATTAAAAAAATAAACAAAAGAAAACACTAAATATAATATTAAAACACTCTTAACTGCAAAGCATAGTCTATAGGTGGCATCCTCTTGGAGAGACTTCACCCGTACCCAGGCAGTCTGGGACTTGGGGCTCCCTAGAGGGTAGCTCTGGGGCCCTGCACCCCTATGCCAGCCCTTCAGCAACGGGCTGGAGAGGGAGGCCCATGCCAGAGAGTCCTGAGCTGCTCCCTGGGTTCGCCACGCCATGGGGAGCTGCTCAAGAGCGTGGGTCCTTCTGGTTGCAAGGGGCTCTGTTGCTCCTGGAAATGTGGTAAAGCGCTGACCTCCACTTCTGCATGATGGCTCTGAGGGTTAACTGCAGCTTTCATTAGCACACTGCACCCCAAAACTCCTAGTCCCAATCCCAGCTCTGCTGGGCAGAAAACTGCAAAAGAGCACCAAGGAAAGGTCAGAGATATCTTGGCTTGGGCCTGACCTACAGCCAGCGCCCAAGCACACCACTTGGTTGGGACAGAAATTACAAAAGGGCTAAAAGGAGGTCCGGGCTATCTCGCTGGGCCTGAACTGGGCAGCAGAAGGCAGCCAGACCTATACTGCACTGAGGCCTGGATCAACAAGAAGAAGTGCCAGGTCTCACCCTGGCTCAAACCATGCCAGGCTTCACCCTAGCCCAAATCTGTCAGCCAAACATATGGCTGGGGTCAGCCACACACCTAGGCTGAACGCTATAGCTGTGAAACAGCAAAAAGGGCCCAGGCCGCAATGGCTGCAGCTTGGACATCCAGGCCCAGCTGTGCCACTGTGCTGAGACAATACAGTTGCAAAGAAGAGGGGCTGAGCCCATGTGGCCAGCAACTGCCAGGACCTGCTCCTGATCAGCAGGATCCTGGTTTTCCCTGATAAACATTTGCAAATTCTCTGATAAAAACCATGAAATCCATTATTGAAATGAAAGGTCCCTCACTCCCCCCACCCCCCAATTCCCACAGCCTCCCCAGTCCTGCTGGTACCCCCCACAGCCTCCTGGCTCCCCAAACCCTGCTGCAGGGGGGCACTAGCTGCCAGGAGGTGGCGGCTGCTGCAGCGGAGCAGAGCCTGGCTCCCCCCCTGCTGCCTGCCTGGCAGCGAGGGGCACAACCCCACGCCACCACCCCTGCTGCCACGCGCACAGGGATGTCTCGTCAGGGCAGCACGGAGCTCACTGTAGCAAGCAGCTTCCCGCACAGCCCGGCAATGCCCAGCAGCACTGGGTCTTTTACTCTTTGTAAAACTTGCAAAATCTGTGAGTTTCTCCATTAAAATGAGAAATCCACATTTTCCTCTAGTAAAGGGGGAAATCTGTGTTTTTTTATGGTTTTCCATGGGAAACGGAAAACCCGGATCCCTGTTGATCAGTTTGCTGATTCAGGAATCAGCACCCCCACTCAAGGGGGAAAAAAAAGGGAAAGATGGAGGAAATAGGAGTCTCAAACTCCAAGACAGACTTTCTCTCCCTGTACCCTCCCGTCACATAGCTTTTGCTCACCTCTCCAGTGAAAAGGGGAGGAGACCATCCCCCCATGGGGAGCAGGTTTTCTGGCTCCCAATACAGGCCCCAGCTTGCCATGTGCTGAGCACATGGCCAGAACACGCACACATGCACACTCTAAAGCACACACTTTACCATACACAGTCCAAGTGTGTGTGAGTGTTGCACATGTTATCTTCCCCCGGGGAAAATCCTCCAGGATGTATACATCCTGCCTGCTGCATTTGATCACTCATTGAGGTTGTTCACATGAGCGACTGGTGCCTCCTGAATCTGGGGGGTACCCACAGGAGGGGTGTCCACCATCGGGGGGTACTGGCCCCATCGGGGGGGGGACATACACCCCCTACCAGTCGCCTATGGTTGTTCACTCAGTCTGGCATTTAAAACACAGGTTTTGGGTTTTAGGCTGCCTATAGACATGCTCATTTGCATTCTAACTATAGAGCTCCAGCATCATTACAGCATCACTTGTATTAAGCCCCCTGTGTTTTAAAACGGCCGTGGTGATGTTCACCTATAACTC